AATATGGGTAAATATACCGGTATTATCGTATACCGGTATGACGTCATACCGGTATATCTGCATTTCGGTTTGCATAAGGGTTTTCATACCATTACCCAAAAATATCGGTAAAATACCGGTATTTTGCATACCGGTATAAGTCCCTGGTTGTAATACGTGGGTGATATACAGTAAATTAACTTAAATTACTTGTTATATGAGTTTGAGGGAGATTCTCAATCAATAATTCCACACTAAATTACTCAAATTATCTAAAGTGCTGCAGAGTGTTTTTTCACCCCTATTGTGTGATAATACACTGTGTCTCTTTACATAATTTATTTATATTTTCTGCACCTGCGCAGATACCAACGTCGAGCGGAAAAAGGTTCGACTCACCGAACAGTTCGTTCCGAACCGCTGAACGGTTTATTTCTTTAATACGATTTTTTTCATAAGCAATACATGAGTATGAATTGCAGTGTTTTGCATCATTTTCTCTTTCAAGTTCTTCGTAGTCATCGTGCAATAAACTCGAGAGCACAAAACGAAATTACGAGTCTACGTCTACGACTCAGATACAGATGCGTCTATATTTTTTCAAAGTTTCTTTAGCTGTTATGCACAGACAGTATCAAAATGATTAGTGTCACTTGTTAAATGATCGAACAATGTTTTCTCGATCGCTACAATAATACCTCAAAAAAATATATCCGCTCGTTCAACATTCATAAGGTTTCACAACGCAAAGTAAGTTATATTACAGAAACATCTCGATCTACTTAAAGCGCACGACTGTTCAAGTTGCAGTACTTTTGCAAATTTTGATTACATTAAAAGTTTTAACAACCATACACGTTCAACAGTGTATAATATTGTGCGCATCTCCGAGCAAGTTTTCGACAGAAATATATTTTCGCACAACTACAAAAAGTTTTCTTTTTATATATTATTGTGCATACGTATACATGAAAATAAGAGTTCACTTCTGTCAATCGACAATAGTTACATAGCAAACAGAGTATTATAATATTTTTTAACGTTATTCCAAAGACTGGCTTAGTTTTTCAAAGCAAGTTGCTTCTTCTTCTTTGTGAAAGTATAGCGGATAAAAGTAAAATATGCAAATTTATAGCTACTCTTTTTATGTGTATTTATAAATAAAATTCAAAATTTTACATATCGACAACTAAACAAAAATACGTACACTAAAACTTAGTTTTGATTGATACCATACATCACGGTGACGTGAGATAACAAAGCATTTGTGATCTAGAAAAACTTTTTAGTTTACACATTTAACAATTTAAATACGCTATGGAGTAAAAGTAAATTCGCTATCTTTCGTTCGTACCGTAGCTAAATTTTCTATCTTCGATACAAAGACGAAACCGATCTTGATGTGAAATTTTTTTCCAGCTTTTGCCGATAGAAGTAGAATGAGTTTTTGAGACGACACGGACATCAAATACCACGACGTAGCGTAACTTAAAATTGAATTAAAAATATAAAAAAAGCATAAGCTTTACAGAAGCTTATTGTTAAATTACAGAAATTATCTAAATTACATAAATTACCTAAAGTATGTTTAAGTGTTGCAAAGTGTTTTTATCTCCATTCCGTGATAATGTTACTCTATGTGTCTTTACATAAATTATTTATATTTTTCGTATCTGCGCAGTTGTGAACCACGTTCGGAAATGTGCCAAACGACCGAGTTTGTTCTCAACTACTGAGCGTTACACTTTTCTTAAGTGTATTACACAACCAAAGAATAAGTTTTTTTAAACACGTGTCTTTTTTCGCCATCAATACTTGTGTAAAAACTATAATAGTTTAATGAGTGTAATAGTTTTGACCGACAGAGATTCACGTAGCATAATCAAAATTATCATCGAGCAGCGCAGCACGAGTAATTTAGAGAAGAAATGACGAATATACTCCACGGACGATGAATTGTACAAATTTGTATATTTGTATGTTTACAACATTAAGATGCGTCATATGGTCATAATATTTAATTATAAATGTAAAAAAAATTCTTTTATTTTAAAATTATCAAACCAGATATAAAGAAAAAAGAAAAATTATAAGTAATTCTATAGTATACTAAAACAAATTTACTTTAATATAATTTTTTTTATTTTCTAAATAATCTCTAAAATATTAAGTTCTATCTATGCGTAATATATTAAAATACATAATATATAATATATATTATGTATTATATATTATATAATACATAATATATATATTATATATTATGTATGTATAATACATAATATATAATATATAATTCGTATATATAATACGTAATATACTAAAATACATTAACTAATGAGCGCACTAAATATGTTACTCCTTGCTCTGACAGTTGTACAACAACGTGGCATAGGACAATGCGACATTGATAACCTACAAAGCAATGAAGTCATTGTAAAATAATATCTAGTTTTCAAAGCTAGATTTAAATATTTCTCACCCTAGAGAAGTTGTCTAACTTTGCCGGAAACATACCACCGTATATAAATGAAAATTCTTTGTTAAAATGTCGTATTAAAAACAACATAAGTTTTTGCGACGATACCGGCATTAAATACCACGATGTACTGTATCTAAGAAGCGAAATTCTTATAAAAATTCTACTTGAAACAAGTTACATATTATATTTTATATTTTATAAAATAAAACTAACATAATTCTAATCCCCAGTATGCACACACATTAAGTAATTTATAACATTAACCCTTCGCGGACAGATATGGGTCTCTAAGACTCACTCAAAATTGCGCATCGGTGTTTCTAGACACCGATGTCTAGAAACTAATTTTTTCTTAAAATTAGTTTCTTTTCAAGTGCTTATATCTTCAAAACTACTAGAGATTTTGTCAATTTGTTTTTTTTTCTTTTTTTTATTGGCGCAGAATCGTTCGTTTGATTCAAAAAACAAAATTGAAAAATATTGAATTTTCGCGATATTCGATTTTAAACTCACGTAGGTCTTACAGACCCAAGTCTGTTCAACTAGTAGGTCATTTTTGAGATCTGTCCATAAAAAGTTAAGTAATGTATACAAGAAGTGTTATATCTTCGCGATCTATGTAATTTACAAGTTCCACACAAGTGATTAATTGAAAATAATTACATTTTTTTTTTAATTCAAAAATATCACAGTTTTACAAAATATTGATAAACAAAGATTTTCTACGTATGATAACATTTGTGCGTTACAAGATAAATAATATACCCTAGTACTTACACATATATCGAAAGATCGCTATTGCAATTAGTAATTTGTTGTCCGATAAAATGCACAATACAGATATAAATTAGACAAAATGTCGTACAGGCAAAACACATTATAAAATTTTGCAAATTTTGTGATATCGCTGCCGCTTCAACAACCTGTCATATATCAGAGGAAGATAAATTTTAGTAGTATAGTGTCTAAAACAAAACAAATTTTATGTTTTCTCGTGTAACATACAATTAATGATTTACTTACTCCGTACAAATTGAGACTCAATAGTGAAACTCCGAGAAAAGCCAAAATGGAAAGCGGCTTGTCAAATGATGTTTCGAGAGTCTTGGTAAACCTTTAAACTCAGAAACAAATACGTTATAACGTTCAAGCGTTATTATATTCTAGTCAAACCACGCGCGTGAAAAATATATACATATTATTATAAAAAATATAAATATACAACACAATATGTCAAAAAAAAAAAAACAAAAAAATTGCGAGATATACACTAACTTTGTTGCTCTGCGATGTGCAGTTGTTGCACGCATCACTACCTTGCAAATTGCGCGTTCCATTTCAGATTTCGATGCGTGCAACACGCTTTCCTCGATGCAATACCGTATTCTATGTCTGGAAATATTTATACATTTAAACTGTGATTGGATTGCCAAAAATGTGTCGCAACCGTGTCAGTCACCTGGCGATTTTAAACATGCCGAATATATGGTAGATAAATCCTAACAATTGTGTTGCCGTGGCGTATCCTATCGTGAAACTTACTGTTACGGAAACGAGTTCGTGTAGCACTTTAATATAAAAATGATCATTTGTGAAAACAAAATATTCCGCCATAATAAGCAGATTGCGCGGTCGAGGATTGTCCAGAGGAAAAACAACATCGAAGATAATCGGAATAAACTGTAGAATGACTGCACCGACAAGCGCAAAGACGAGAATTACTGAAAGACGTGAGAATTATAGACAAAATGTCGTAAATATTTGCTCCATTATTTATGAGCAAAAAAAAAGAAAAACAAATTACATTTCTTCGCGTCACTTTACTTTGTATCACGTTACGTAGTTATCTCTCAGTACGCTCTCTGCAATTTTACATGTAACGAATCTCTACTCGCACGTACTTTTCACTTACACGCAGAGATACATAAATTTTTAATTTTTCTTGAAAAAAAAACAGATAGGAGTACATTACGTTTAAGTATATCTTACGGAATAGAAGTTGAATAAAAATTTGGCCATTGTGAGCATTCTGCCGCATAATATCGTTCTCTATCTTATCGCACATCAAGTTCCAATCTTCTCGAATTTGTTGGTGCAAATTTATTATCTGTCATTAAATTGTTTACTTTACCAACTTTATAGTCAAGCGCGAATTTGCAAACAAAACGTTGCTGCCAGTTAGGATGCGTTTAATTTAACTTACATCTTTTTCTTTGAGAATAGAAGTGAAATAATGCACAGCTATTACAACAAAAACAAAGCTGAGTGACAAGACTCTTAGGAAAAGTTCCATACTGTACTCGGTTGTGGTGAACAACAATAACTGAAAATAATGAACAAACGTTGTTCGTAGCCGATCGAGAAACAAACGAGCGAAACTGTGCGTCTTTCAGATTATTATTTTGTCGTTTTGCAATGTTTTACAAGATTATTGCGATCAAGAAACACACGCGCGTGTAAAAAGAATAAAAAACAAAAAAAAACAAAAAAACCAGTAGCACAACAGAGACGTCTCCGACGTCGCACTTTTACCTGCATTCCAATATATGACATAATTAAGAGACTAATTAGCGCACGTTGCAACATTATTAAGCGTGATTTGTCATGAGGCCAGATACCCAACACTTTCAAACAATGTTTATTTATCGTGTAATAATGATCTTCTACCTGCATGTTTCACAAAAAAGAACGAAACAAAACTGAGACGTAACATACGTTCTTCGTCGCAAAATATTTTTCTTATTTTTGCAAATTACTCGAGAGAAACGCGCGACAAAACCGCGTATACAAAACCGTAATATTCTCAGATGCGTTTCTCTCAATTGCGCCGTAATCAAAGGAAATAACACTCGAATTACGTAAATTGCCGTAAAACACGTTTCTATTCTTCTGCTGTTTATAATGTGCGCGCGATAGTTTTTTTTTTGTTACGCGTTTCTTAATTGTGCCGCGCGTGCGCATTCTCTTTGTCTATCGATTTCTTCGTCAGTCTTTTCGCGGTCGTCGAACAATACGCATATCGAATTTCGTTACGGAACGACGAATCTACGCGAATACCTAACTAAAGCTTCAAAGATTTAAACCATCTTGCCATCTCCGTTTTCTTCTCAAATATTTCAAGCATTTATTTCCGCTAACGACTATTCCTATAAGTTGGATTCTGTAAATACACTTAAATCAAACTTAAATCTACAGATTAGTGTCACATTAAAGAGAAGACGTACGTGGTTTTACTCAACAGTATTTTGGTATTTTTTGACAAATTTTACGTGCATATTACTTATGTTGCAGAGATGTACAGATTCGACTATACGACGAAAAAAAACTACTTAACGAGCGATCGCTCTTTCTTCCGCGGGTTTTATTGTCGCGTGGAGTAAATCACCGTGAAGAACGATACCGTCGTGTTCAGAAGCTGAAAAACGACACACGATAGTTTTCTAATCCGCGTTTTCACACAAAAGATTCACATAACAACAAAATAGAGATGTGGTTTTTTTTCTCTCGTCAAAGAAACAGTTAAAGTTCTCTTCTTTTGTTTTTACCGTGGCAAAACATTCAAAGGACGCGATGAATAAACCAGCCGCTGTTAGATTCACATTTACCATTCCTTTTTGCATCACGAATAACAGCAATTTTTGCGCGTGCAACGGCGCCGCGTACCACATGCCGTTGTAACTGCAAATATTTTTTTAAATATTCACATTCATATATACGTCTTCGTACAAGACGGTGTGTACTTTTGAGCGCACACATTAATATCGATTTGAAAACTCTTGACTCTAAAAAACAAAATTAAGATCGTGCCGATATGATGACTTGAAGCGTAAAAATGCGTAACAATACTCACGACGATCTAAAAAAATGTATTCCATGATCAATGATTTGTTGTCCGCCGTAGCTACCGATGAACATGTAATTTACGTGAAGAACTATCAGAAGACCGAACGTGAATATCTCGCCGATGTTGTTCGTCATTATCACCTGGAAGAACTACGAGAGAAGTAGACGTGATGTTCAAAAAAAAAAAAAACGGAGTAGATGTGACGTTTAATTTCTCACTATTTCTTAGATCAGGAAAAAAAAATAACACAAGTGTTACTTACTTGAACAAGATTGATAATCAGAGAACACACACCGACCACGACTAGAATACCGTACGCCATATGACAAAGAGATTGCAAATAGTTCAGAAACCTTTGAACGGAGAAATGTTTTTTTTTTTGTCGATATCGGAGAGACGTTTGTTTGCACGTTTAAAACTGATCGATAAACAGCGCGAGCTTTATCGAGATTATTTGCAATATAAATTGTTGCTCACGCACACGCGATCGAATACAAAAATTTTATTGTGTATGCACAAATTTTGATTAATAAAAGTAGAATTAATTTGTGTTTTATGAATATATAAAAAATTCTAAAACACCCATAAGTTTCTAACACTATCTAGTTGTAATTTTACATTTACGTTTTGATTTTAAAGTTGATTTACAAAGAAACGTTCGCGATCGAACGTTTTGCAAAGTTTTTACAAAGAAAGACCAAAAATAATACCAACTCGATAGCTCTCTGATGAAAGACAATCGCGTGAATCATTCTTTCGTAAAACAGATGCTTCTTCTTGAGAAAAAAGATCTTCGCCGCGTTCTCTATTCGATAGCTGCGTAACACACAAAAATCTACTGTACAGGCGCGCGAATCGCGCGTCGTCACGTAAAACAAACGACCGTGTGCAACAAGTGCATTCCTGCGTATTACCTTGCGATTTTGAACATTGCACACGCGTGTATGATGTACACCATCATCATCGTGCCTACGCCGATCAGCGCGTTTATTCCTATGTAAAAGGTCACCAGTTCGTGCAGTATCATAGCGTACAAGTACTTCTCCTTGTTGACGAAGTATTCCGCGATTACGAGGAGTTGACAGGGCCGTGATCGGTTCAACGGTAACACGAGATCGAGAATTTTTGGCAAGAATTGAAACATTCCGGTGAACAATATTCCGATGTAGCAAAACGCTGAGGAACAGTCTTAAGTATTTACTTCTTGAATCCACTTATGATTGTTTTAATAGAGAAGATGTGTAAAATAGAACATTTCTTATCGCATTAACGAAAATGAGTAAATAAAAAAAAAATAAAAAAAAAACATTACGTGCGTAAATATTATATATCACATTTAGATTCGTATTACGTTACCTATCATAGACATTGTTAGAATTTTCGCATAACGAGCGTACCGTTTTATAATATCAATTTCCAATTTGTCTTTCAACAAACTCCAATCGGTTTGCATGTGTTGTATCAATTGTCTCAGCTGTTCGTTCGGGATTTCCCTTGCAAACGATTAGAAGACAACTTTTCTTTTGTACACATATGTCGCGGATGAAAATTTTTTGGATTGGAACAAAATTGATTCTCACTTACACGATCCGCCTCGATGGTAAAAAAGCAATATTTTATCATGCTGAAAAGAGTGGGGAAGACGAAAGAGAGAATCTTGAGAAAAAGAGTCACACTGCATTGCGTTGTGGCGAATACCAACAGCTGAAAATATACATTTAGGATGTAAGAAGTAATTTTACGCGTGCGATATTATCGAGATCTTTTTTTTGTTTTTAGAAAAATTAAAAAAAAAGTTTTTTTCGCAATATTTTAAAATTAGTTAGAGGGGTATACGGGGTCCTTCATATATATGTGATGCAAATCCAGCATCCTATATAGAGGGAAAAAATTATTTCGAAGTATATATGTGTATACATATACAGGGTGTTTCAGAACTATGGGATCAAACTTCTAGGGGTTATTCAGTGCAACAGTAGAAAACATTTGAGTATAGGGACCCATGTCCGGAAAAGTGTCACTACCGCACTACGGCCCTAAGACGCGTTAAAATTTAGAAAGACGATGAATTGCCTAAATAGGATTTAATGCATTTAATTTTTGCCTTTTGACATTTTGAACAATTGTTGTGATGATATCATGTACAAAAGGCAAACATTAAATGCATTAAATCCTATTTAGGTAATTCATCGTCTTTCTAAATTTTAACGCGTCTTAGGGCCGTAGTGCGGTAGTGACACTTTTCCGGACATGGGTTTCTATACTCAAATGTTTTCTACTGTTGCACTGAATAACCCCTAGAAGTTTGATCCCATAGTTCTGAAACACCCTGTATATATATTTAAGCACATTCACGCACAACATCCTGCGAACGGCTCTTCATGTCCTTATATTCATATATTATTAGTTTAAAAAAAAAACTTTACCAATCTTGCTGAAGTTAAATTTGAAATCGAAAATTTCAACTTTGTAGAAAAGAATTATTGAACAAAATCGCGGTGTGTAAAAGATGAGAGAAAAATGACACCTCGTAATAAATATCGCGATTGCAAGAAGCGCAAGTTTGAATTACCTGAACAAGGAGAAACGTTAAAAGACTAACGAAAGACAGTACTTTTTGTATCCGAGCTAAGTGCGGCTTCTGAAACGGCCACAAGCCGATTGACGCGAGAAGAAATCGATTGAACTTGTAATAGCTCTCTCTTTCCGTGATCGCGTACATTTCGCGCGGGATCTGCGACACGACTGCGACACTAATCTTCGCATTCTCGAATTATTTTTCTCTTTCTCTTTCTCTCTCTCTCTCTCTCTCTCTCTCCCTCAATGTTTTATTAACTGTAAATTTCTCTTAATCAATATTACTCTGCGCGACGTACTAGCTGCTATAAGAAAACAATTACGTTTTTCCTATAATAGCTGGAAAAAAAAAATAAAACGTATACATGTTATTACGATACGAGTTGTAACACATTAGCCGAAATTATCTCAATTTGAAATTGAGAGATGTATATTGTGTCACACGCGATACAATATTCTTGCGCAAACGCACTAGCGACTTCTTTTTCTCAGCGAAGAAATACGATTCAGTCTCGTACAACGCGCTCGTCGCTTCGCATCGAACTGCAAATCGCTAAGTATCAAAAATGTGAAGATAAAGATGTTCATTCGAGGTATAATGTAAAGATGAGAGTGGATTGTGATTACACCGTGTTTCTTCTTTATACATTATCTTCTATATTACACGACTATTTTGTACTGTAATTGCCGATGTATTATTGAGAAACTGTGTACAATGTTAATAATATATTTCAATGTCAAATCAAACTGACCAGCCCATTTACAATCATCAAGTCAAACAAAAATCGCATTTTTCTATTTAAGATTATGATATATATGTAATTATTTTTTTATATCTCTCACTTCGACTAAACAATTGCACAATGTTCAGAACGTACACATCATTATCGCACGGAGTAAATTACTGTGAAGTAGGATATCGTTGAGCTCACAAGCTGTAAAAAAAAACAGATGAAATTGATTCTTACATTCACGTATGTAAAAAAAAAATCGATCTTTTTTTCATTGCCAAAAAAATATTAATTTTACCGCGGCGAAACATTCCAAGGACGCGATGAACATGCCACCCACGTCCAAATGTACGTCCAATATTCCCTTCTGCATTACAAACAGCAGCAATTTCTGTGTGCGCAACGGCGCCGCGTACCACATTCCGTTGTAGCTGCAATTTTTTATTCACACATACACACGTACGCGCAAAAACAAATTTGCAATTTTTCACAAATTCGGGATAATTGTATTTAAAAACACTCACAACGCTCTGAATAGATCCGCGCCGTGATTTATCATTTGTTGCCCGTAGAAATTAATGACGAACATGTAAACAAAATGAGTAAACGTTACAAGAGCCACTACAGACGCCTCGCCAAAATTGTTTGACGTTACAACTTGAAGTAACTATAAAAGATAGTACGTACGTGTGTGTCATAACGAAATTCGTTGTTACTCGAAAAACAAGACAAAAAACGCTACTTACTTGAAGAAGATTGATAATAGTAGAAGTCACACCTACAAAGACCAGCATTGTGAACGATCTTCCGAAAACGGATGACAAAACGTTTACGAACCTTCGAATCAAGACAGATAAAAATTGAAACTCACAATTCGTTTACGCTAACAAATGTGCGTAACCGGCTGCGCAACAGCTACATTGCGCACACATTGCTTCAATATACACTTTAACAATTATATCATATTGAACGATTTTCACTTTTTTTTTTTACATGATTTTATAGTTTTGACGAAAGTTCGACGTGATAGAGATGTATCTCTTCGATTGTTAATTCCAACAACAGAAGAGCAAGTATACTGACTCAGTAGCTCTTTGATGGATGACGATCATATTTATCATTCTCTTGTAAAGAAAATCTTTTTTCTCAGAACCAGAAAGAGATCCTAGCACGTTCTCAATTCGATAACTGCGTAAACACGCGAGAGAATTTAACGTAACATAATTTAACGTCCACATTGAGTGAAACAAAAGAGCACTCGACCTTGATTAAATACCTTGTGATTTTAAGCAACGCGCACGAATGCAGCATGTATCCAACTATCATCATAAGAACGCCGATCAACGCGTTAATTCCTACGCAGATTATCAACGCCTCGTGCAGAACCATCGCGTAGAAATATTTCTCCTGACTGACGAAGTACTCGGTGATCACGAAGAGTCGACGGGGTCGTGATTCGTTCAGCGGCGAGACGTAGTCGAGAATCAACGGCAGTAATTGAAATATTCCGAAAAAAACGATGCCAAAATAGCAAATAGCTGAAAAACATTGTATCTTGCTTGAATTCGATTAAATTATAATCTTACTTGTCAAGATTAGCGTAACAAATCTCGCTGAGCGTGCGTATCGGTCCACAATAGCAAGTTCCCTTTTGTCTTTCAAAAGACAACAGTCGATTCGCATTTGTCGCATCAGATGTTTCACCTGCATTTGTTTCCACGTTCCTTACGATGAATTAGAAGAATATTTGTGTGATATATTTTTATGTACGTCATTTTGCAAATGTTTTGATTGAACGTGATTTGCGGCATTGGACTTACACGATCTATTTCAATAACGAAAGAGCTGTATTTTATCATCACGAAAATAATGGGAAAAATGCACGAGAAAATCTGAATCAGAAGATTTATACTGCACTCTCTTGTGGAAAACACCAGCAACTGCGAACAACACAAAGTGATCACATCTCGGAATATTTTACAACAATTTATCGAAGTATATTTCGGAGCGTTTTTCGCAAGCGTGTTGTCAAACGAGAAAAATCAACTTGATTAAAACTTAAAAAGATTTGACGCTCGTGAAATAGGCAACAGAAATATGTAAGGCCGATACGAGCATTCGCAGGATGTTTGTGTGGGAAGGCGATGGCACGGAAAGCCGGAGANTCCAGGTTCGACTCCTGGCCGAGGAGTTTTTTTCGCAATATTTTAAAAATTAGTTAGGGGGGTATCCGGGGTTTTTCATATGTGAGATGCAAATCTAGCATCCCGTATGATTTTAAGAATTGATATTTCAATTCAAAAAATACTTGTAAAAAATTTACAAGTATAATTCGTTACATGTATATATATATATATATGTACACGCTTAGTTCCCGCACAAACATCCTGCGAATGCTCGTATCGGCCTTACATATTTCTGTTGATTAAAACTTGATCTTTTATTGATCTTTAAGTGTGACGCGAAAGATTTAATTTTTTTTTTTTAATAATGAACGCGCGACAATGCCTAGATGAGAGATTAAAAAAAAAGAATAAATAATAATAAAAATTTAAACGGTACATATAAGATCACAATAAACACACGTGCACACATAAAAATCTGAATGTGCTTTGACGTACCTGAACGAGGATAAACGTTAAAAAAATAACGAAGGACAATGTTTTTTGAATCAGAGCGAAATGCGGCTGTTGATAGGGCCATATGCCGATCGACGTGAGAAGAAGTCGGCTGAGCTTGTAATATCGTTCCGTGACCGCGTACATCTCTCACGGGGGTTGCTTACACGACTGCGACGTCAACCCTTGCATCCGTCGAATTATTTCTCTCTCGATATTTCGTGCGAATTTCAAACAATCGATATTTCCCGCGCGCTCTATGACAACCGCTATAAGAAAATATCCTTCTAACAGCTGGGAAAAGTAATGTGTGCCTAAATTTACGATACGCACATAGACGATAAACACATATTATATTGCTCAAATTGCGTGCCTCACTTCGAAATTGGCATTATCGCGCGGTAATGTTCTCGCGCAAACGCAGTGACGAATTTATTTTTCTCAGGCGCAGAAACACGCTTCAGTCTCGTACGACGCGCTTGTCGCTTCGCATCAAAGCGGTAAAGTAAAAACAGGATATAGATACGCGTACTTACGAGAAGCAGAAAGACGAAAGTATGTACTTGGTAACAATTCTGTTTTGTTGTGAAAATGTGCTTAACCAACACGTAACAATGGCACACAATGAAACACACGCAAAACTTAACGTAAACGTTAAAAGTAACGCAGTGTCAATCAGAATTACAGAGAAAGAGATAGAAAAAAAGATTAAGAGAAACAATTTATCAAGACTAAACATATCTCTTTTAACTAAATATATATCTCTTATATAAATAAATATATCTCGCAAAATCTGTGGAACGTTCGTCAATAGCGCGCAGAGTAGAACACTGTGAAATACGATACCGCTGCACTCGCAAGCTGAAAAAAGGCCCACAAGAGCGATTTTTTTTATATTTGAAATCGATTTATATTGCGATCCAAGAGGTAAAATTAATTTTACCGTAGAAAAACATTCCAAAGACACGACGAATATACCGCCCAATGTCATGGTGACGTTTAACACCGTTTTCTGCGTCACGAATAGCAGCAATTTCTGCGTATGCAACGGCAATGCGTACCACATTCCGCTGCAGCTGCAAATTTTAAAAACAGATTCAGGTAAAAGAAGATAAAAAGTGAAGAGTAGGTAGTATTTTTGAAATGTGATTTACACACAACTTTTTTTACGTTCATAGAACAATCGCGAATGTGTGATGACAGTTTACACATATAGATATATGATCTCAAAAATACTATTTAAAAAATTACAAAACATACTCACGATGCTTTAAACAGACTTTCGCCATGATCTATAATTTGTTGCCCGCAGAAATTAGATACGAACATGTAAAAAAAATGAACAAACACAGATAGACCAATGATAATCATTTCGAGGTTGTTCTTGTCTAATACCGCTTGCAGAAACTACAACATAGTATCGTATTTCAAACTTATAATTCATCGTTACTTCGAATTAAGAAGAAGCGGAAATTTGCTTACTTGAACGAGATTGATAGTCAGAGACATTACTCCCACACTAATTAGAATAATGTATAATATCCCGCAAAGGGATTCTATTAACTTGAGAAATCTTCAAAAAAAAAAAAAAAGACGAAATGAAGAATTTTGAATAAAAAATAATAAAGAGAAAGGATATAAGAAATATCGCACAATTTTGTTTTAGTCGATCAACGACGATTGTAAAACAATATGCTTCTTTATTTATTTTATTTATCAAAAAAGAAAAAAATATACTAACTCATTGGCCTTTTGATGAATGAGGATCGCTTGTATCATTTTTTTGTGACTAAGAAGTTTACTTTCTGAAGGACTGGAAGCTTCCACTTCCTTGAGCGCATCCCTCATTCGATATCTGTACGCGCACGAAATTAATATGCCGTATACAAATCTGGAGCGCGATCGAAGAACGCGTTCAAGAAAAGCAAAGTTTAAATACCTCGCGACTTTGTAAAGCATGCACGCGTGCAGAATGCCTATTATCAGTATCGAAGCCACACCACAAAACGCATTAACACTAATATTGACGATTAAAAACATGTGTAACAATATAAAGTAAAAATATTTCTCCTCATCGACGAAGTATTCCGTCGTGATGATGAATCGAAACGGTCGCGATTCGTTCATCGGCGAGACGATGTCGAGAATAAACGGGAGAAATTGACATATCGAAGCACCGAATAGGATAAAATGGCCAACTGCTGAACAACATTATCATAGAATTATTACGGAAAAGATACGTTCGAGCATTGTCTTGTCATATTAGTAACAAACGTAAGGAATGACATTAGTTGCTGTTATGATCTTGTATTATCGGATACTTACAATTCGTAACGACCTTACCTATCAAAGTCAGCGAGACGAGTCTTCCGAGGCGAGCGTATTGATGAAAAATAACGATTTCTCTCTTATCTCGCAACGCTAACCAGTTGTTTTGCATTTCTTGCAACATTTGTTTAATCTGCGAAGATTCCATATGTCTTACAAAAAAAAAAAAAAAAAAAAAATTGGATAATCAACAATATCATTATTTATCGTACTTCATTATTCGCAATTACGCGAATAAATGTGTCTTTAGCGAAACTTACGCGATCTGCCTCAATAAGACAAAAACAATATTTTATTGTGATAAAACTCAAGGGAAATACAAACGATAGAATCCTAATAAGAAGATTTATTGTGAATTGCGTTGTAACGAGTACCAACAACTAGAAATAATTTGTTCTAAATGATTATATCAAACAAATATAATATCTATATCGAATATATAATATATATTTTATCAAGCGACGTCGAAACGCGAACTTGCTTAAATTTAGTAACGTATATAGAAAAACAAAACAAACGTTTGCTCTTACATGGCCAGTAAGAAAAATGTGCTAAATCTATTCAATAGACAACTTTTTCTTGCTGACCGTATAATAGCAAAACTTTTTTCCGTTACTAAATTTAACTAATTTTTTTTTGCTATTCTAGCCAAAGTATTTTTTTCCATATATAGTTTTTGTATGTACCTCGACAAGAATGTGTGACAAAAGCAATGTTAAACACAGTATTTTTTGTATTCTCGCAACATACTGACACTGATAAGGCCACAAGCCGATCAACGAGAGAATAATTCGAGCGGGCTTGTGGTAGTGTTCTATACTCGCGTGCATCTCGCGCGAGAGCTGCGACACGACTGCGATACGAAAATTTGATACTTTGTTTCTCTCTGTATTTTCCACAAAACAACTCAAACAATCAATAACCTTGTATGATATACTATGTGAGAAAGTGGTCATCTTTTCCTAATGTAGGTATTATATACAATCGCAATGTCATTACCATTTTCGAATTGCTTCAATTTGAGAATGATAAACAGTTATACTTTTGCGATAATAATAAATAATAGTTACAGAGTCTATAGGCAACGAATTAACTAAAATTGCCTCAATTCATAATTGAGTGCTATAGTAGCGCAGTAATACTTTTTTTTCTCTCAAAAGAGAGAAATTTTTAAATTACAGAGAGAGAGGGAGAATAATAATACTTCAATTTCACACGATGCGTTTGTCGGTACGATTCGAACTGACGAATGTTCTCGCGCAAACGCAGTGACGAATTTATTCTTCTCGGCGACAGACACGCTTCAGTCTCGTACGACGCGCTTGTCGCTACGCATCAAGCCGTAGACCTGTTCTACAATACAGTCGTAAGCCGTAAGTCGTAAGAAATTGACCAATCACAATCGATTATTCTTCTGTAATTGGTCTGTGAAAGGTCAATTTCTTACGACTTACGGCTTACGACTGTATTGTAGAACAGGCCGTAAAGTAAAACCAGATAATTACAGATATTTACGAAAATAAAAAAAAAAAAAAACAAAAGTACTGGCGACAATTCCATTGTATCGTGGAAACGTATTTAACCAATACGTAATAATGACACACGATAGAACGCAACAAATGAAAATTGAAAATTAACGTAAAAAAAAAAAACGTTGAAAGCAAAGCAGCGTCAACCAGAATTGGAGAGAAAGAGATAGAAAAAAAAGACTAGAAGAAACAATTTTTCAAGACTAAATATATCTCTTTTAACTAAATATATTTCTTATATGACTAATGTTTTTTGCACACTCTGTAAAACATTCATCAATAAAGGGAATAAAACACTGTGAAGTACGATACTGCTGCACTCGCAAGCTGAAAAGGCACAAAAGAGCGATTTTGTTAATTTGAAATCGATCTACTTTGCAATCGAAGAGGTAATTGATTTTACCGTGGCAAAGCATTCCAAAGACGCAACGAATATACCGCCCACTGTCATTGTGACGCTCAACACCGTTTTCTGCATCACGAATAGCAGCAATTTCTGCGTATGCAACGGCAATTCGTACCACATTCCGCTGCAGCTGCAAATTTTGAAACAGATTCGTTGAAGAAATTAAAAATAAAAATCGTGTGAAGTGATTTATATACATTTTTTTTTCATTCGTAAAATCGCGAATGTTTAATCACAGTTTACATAAGTGTAGGATTTAAAAAATTTTATTTAAAAAAACTGCAAAACATACTCACGATGCTTTGAACAGATTTTCGCCGTGATCTGTGATTTGTTGCCCGAAGAGATTAGCTATGAGCATGTAAAAAAAATGGGCCAACGCAGACGTAGCGATTACAACTGCTTCGTCGGTGTTCCTGTCTAATAATGCTTGCAGAAGCTACGACAGTAGCTCGTATTAGTTTTTCAAAACTACATCATCGTTACGTCGAATTAAGAAAAAGCGAAAATTTACTTTAACGAGATTGATAGTCAGAGACGTCACTCCTACACCAATTAGAATAATGTACATCCCGCAAAGAGATTCGAAGAACTTGAGAAATCTTCAAAAAAAAAAAGATAAATCGAATAATGTTGAATAAAGAATTAAAAAAAAAAAAAAAAAAAAAAAAAAGAAATAAAAATTATCTCTCATTTGTTTTCGTTTACAAAACAGTTATAATACAAAAAAAAT